AGACAGGAGAGAGAGAGAGAGAGAGAGAGAGAGAGAGGGCACACACAAAAAGAGAGAGACTAAATAAAAAGAGAGAGAGAGAGAGAGAGAGAGAGAGAGAGAGAGAGAGAGAGAGAGAGAGAGAGAGAGAGAGAGAGCAGATGGAATTTTGCATAATCATGGTTTTCTCACTTAACTGCTGCTCAGTTAACCCCCCAGCCTCACTGGGGAAGGCAATGCTGGCAGCCAGACTCTTACTTATTTTTTGGTGCTCAGCAAATGTTCAAATGGGACGCTGGACCCGTTTTCCAGCAGGTGCAGCTCCCCACCAATAGACTGGAGCAACCGGATCGCGCACTAGGGGAGGCTGCTCGTACCACCTTCCCTAGTGACATTGGCCTGGCTTAAAAAAAAAAAAAAAAAAGACCAAGGAGACGTTAAAACATACACTACAGGCCTGTATCCGAAGAATTCCAATCCAATCCACAGAGCGGATCAGCTATCAAATTTAGCAGCCCATTTTATCCCTCCCTGCAGAACCAAAGCAATGAAACACAGTGTGATGGCAAAGTATCCTGGAAAGCCTGCGTCCTTATGGACATACACGAAAGACGAATATCCCACAATTTTTATTTTATTTTTTTAATTTTTTTAAACAAAACGGGCCCAGTGCCCAAGGCTGATATTACCAATAGGCCGGGGTCCTCACAGTCTACCAGGAGGAACCGAACCGAACAAGTTGAGAACCGGGCTCAGCGTCCCTCATATGATGATGCTTATGCTGCTGCTGCTGCTGCTGCTGCTGATGATGATGATGATGATGATGATGATGATGACAATAAACTTCTAATGATTGTATGAGAAATGTGAGATAATGATACTAATGATGATGATGCTAATGATGATGGCGATTAGTATGTGAAAAATTTTAGAAGTCTATGCTATATCAGCAAATCTGGCCTTCTCATCCTAGAACAACCCCTAGCCCTCCCTGCGCCAGGACATTACATCTCAGAGACAATGTCATCCTAGCCAACATCAACCATCGCAGTCCTGTTCTCGCCACCTAGACTAAACCTGGACCCATAGGCTGTCCTGGTAGCACCCCCCAATTCACCACTGGATTGTCTTCCTCCCTCGACTAATCCCCAGATCTCTCTACAAGGCCTCACACTCCTGTCATTTGCAGGTTACAGGGCAACGCCGCAGCTCCGGCCAGCGTCGTTCTAGCATTGGCATACCAGGGGCACAGACCAAAGCCGCATCTACGTAGATATCAGCCCGGATTCGACCATCGCTTAAATCCTATATCCCGAATGAGGAAGAAGGCCGAGTGCCGCCAAGAATTACAGCACCAGAAAAACTGGATATAACATGATTGATTACTTTCTTTGTTTCCTTGGATATCACAATTGAGCATGGAAAATCCCCCCCCCACCCTCCCCTTTCCCCTTGTCCCGTCCCTGCCTCCCCCGAAAAAAGAATATCCTTATCACAGACGTTCCTTATCAGCGCCAGCTAAGAACAGCCCCACACCAAAAAAAAAAAAAAAAAAAAAAAAAGAGAACAGCCCCACACCCTCCCCAATCCCCCAGAGGCATTCAGTTCCCACCCAAAAAATGCCTCTGCTTGCCCCTTACCCTAATCTGCCCCCGCTGAGGTTTGAAATCTCCCATCAGCCCCCGAATAGAGTTTTCACCCACAAATCTGCTCATACCCCCTTCAGGGCATCACTACCCACCTTGTGCAGCGCCTGCAGAGCAGAGCTCACCCCCCCTTCCGACCAACCTACCCATTTAGAAAAATAATTCAAAAGACTAAAGGGAGAAAACCAAAATTACTGATTGAAATGATTGCACGAGAAGTACAGAGACCAGATTTTCTTTTTAAAATAACAATTACAAATAGAAATAAATTATGGGAAATGCTGTGGAGTTCCACGACAGAATCAGACTTGAACCGCCTGAACACAAATTAGTAATTGATTAATTAGAAATTTTCAGGTATTAAAAAATACCATTCAGATCAGTTTATCGTGAAGAACCAATGTTTGTCAATGAGGTACGGATTAACTACTGAGAATCAGCGAAGTCAGCCAGCCAAGTCCACCAGGTCCTCAGGATAACCGGGTGCAGACGTAGCCCTTTGACAAATACGCTTAAGCTCGTCCTGTCGCATTGTCGTCAGTTCCTTCTTTCGGTCCAGCATGAATTGGAGTATTCCCTCTGGACCACTCCCGGCAGGTATCTTCGTCCTCCCCCGAGCCTCACCCCGACGTGAGCTCTCGCCACGTGTCGGCGTATTTTCAACTTCGCTTGCTCGTACAGAGAACGACGGCCGCCGAAAGCCACCAGATCCAACCGCCTCCTTACCCTTCCGATATTTTCTCTCTCAACGCCGAAAGTCTACGAATCTGCTCGTCGAGATCGTCGACATTCATATATATCAGCCGCCTCACTCACCAGATACGCTCCCTACGCGTGGGAGGAGGGGGCCATCCCCTCCGCTGTTCCTTCCTTCGAACACCCTCCCTACGGCCCAAGTACTGTCAACCTACCTCCGTCATCACCTCCGCTTTCGTAGCTTCCGTGTACTCGGCCATTTTGGTATGAAGCCGGTCATCAAATCGTTTCTGCTCCTCTAACTCTCTCTTCCGCGCCTTCTCCTCCTTCCTTTCGTTGATTAGCTCGCGCAGGAACTCCTCTTCATCGTCCGCCTCAGACCTTCGGGGTGTCCAAAACCTTGGCATGGACAGTGCTGAATAGGATTGCCCGCCAGCATTCCCCCCATTGTTTTTTTTTTTTTTTGTTCCTCACCATTACCGCCGGGTTTACTCGGACATTCACAGGCAAAATGACCCTCACCCCCACACTGACAGCACTTTAAGGGACCCCCGACATTCACAGGCAAAATGACCCTCACCCCCACACTGACAGCACTTTAAGGGACCCCCATATGGAGTCAGAGAAAGAGAGAGAGAGAGACACCGGAGCCAATCGAAAGACAAGCGCGCCCTAAAAGTGGCAAAACTCTTCGCCAACCGATTAAAAACCTACGGCATCCACAACCTAATCATGCCTGACGAGGAACCCTGAAAGCCCTGGTGTTCTCTTCATAATAACAACCACCCTAACGAGGTCCAGTTCATGATAATCGCCGATCAGGAATGCAACCCTCAGAACAATACTCATGATACCTAACACCTGATGAGGAACCCTGAAGACAACCCCTAACTAGCAATACCGAACACCCCTATGAGTCCCGATATCTACGCGAAAGCAGACAAAATGAAACGCCTGAAGACATGCAACAAAATGTGAAGCGCACTGAAGATCATCAAAAAACATCCGACTAAATGAAGCGCAATGAATACCTAACCCCTCCCCCCAACCCCCCA